GGCGCCATTTCGGCCCCGAAGATGGGCAACGAGAATGACGAGATGCCCACGCCCATGCCTTGGATCACGCGCGCGATCAGGGACATGGTATGCCCCCCTCTTCGCGTGAACACCAGGATGCACGTACCGATGCAGAACAGGAACCCTGCGCTGAAGATGGTCATGCGGCGACCAAACTTGTCCGCCACCACACCGCCCACGTACGCGCCTAAGATGCACCAGATGTAGTACAGCACGTTGAACAGCGTCGTAAAGTTGAGCCAGTTGGCTGGCAGGTCCGCTGCCGTCGACGTGCACTGGAGGTATGTGTTGCCGTCGTAGGCGACGCAAAAGTCGTTCAAGAACGAATCCATCACCAGGACGCCCCCCGTCATGCCTAGATCGTAGCCAAAGAAGATGCCGCCCAGCGACGCAAACACACACACGACCACGGCGTACATCTTGGAGCCTTCCGTGGGCGTGGACGTGGTGCCGTCACCCGCGGCCTCGATGAACACCCCTCCGCCTGCCATGGTGGTCAAGTAGAAGGATGTGGAAAATGAATGATCTTTGTCGCTTTGCCTCCAATCGTCTAGCCTGACGTTAAGGCGACTTGAACGTGGAAGTTCGATGTCGTGATGTGGAAATTGTTGTGAAACCACGTGGTTTTGCAATGCTAACAGTTGTTGAAGGGATTTGAGTGGTCCAAGATTGCGTTAATGCGAGCTGGCAAGGCTTCTGGGACATCGGCAGAGATATTTGAGTTTAACGTTTAGAATTTCGCGTACCAAACCGAGGTTCGAGTTGAGTTGGCCTTGGTACTGTCTTGATTTGAAAGGCACGGACAGCATATCATCGTTGGAAGCCGCACATACCAGTAAGCTTACTAACTGTAAGTACCGTGACTGGTTGCTAAGTACTGTACGAAGTACTACTCTGTCCCAAATTACCTCCACGTTTCACCTCTAGTTTTGCCGCAAAATCATTTTTATTACGAGGATTTATTTAAATTTCTCTTAAATCAGACTGGTGATCTTTGTATAGCGTGAACTGCCTCTTGTGAACAAGCAAGTGGTCGAGCCAATTGGCCCAAACTTCTTACATGGGCAATGTCGGTATAGAGGACGAGGAATCTCACCATGGTTATGGCAGGGATGTCTACCTGACTCGAGCAGAACCCAAGCGAGGAGTACTCATATAAGATAATACAATTATAGAGTTTACGTTACCTCTGTATATGAATATTGTTACCCATTTGACCATACATTAATCAAGTCCGGTGAGTGATTTTAATTCTGCGCTGAGGAGCAATATTATTTTGATGACAGTGTGCACATTATCCAACAAACCTGTAATAAAAACATGAGCAAGCAAAACACTGAATTCCCAGCTTCTCATTGGTACAAATTTCGTAGAAATTGGGTACATGAGTCAAATTTTGAGGTGAGTCGAAGTTGAAACGTGGAGGTAATTTGGGACGGAGTAGTATTCAAAGTAGCCAGAAGCCGACTCTGGTGTATGGAAACTGTATCCGGTACAGAGTACTATTATTATACTGGAGTAGTAGTTTTTACTGTTAACGGTGCAGTGCTGTTGGTAAGCGTTATATTGTGGATTCAGTACAAATTTCCAGTTCGAATCTCGCCGCCGAATCGAATCACGAATCGACGCTACAGTTGTACAAGTATTGATTAACAGTAAGGCTGTGTGTGGATGGCACAGAAATTTTTTTGTAAAACAATTTCTTACAGAGAATTCCGGTTTCAAATGGGAGTGAGAAAATATTTTCAAAATATTTTGATGTGACCTCTGGATACGAAGAACTATCGATAGAATAACATGTAGGTAAAAAATGGAAAACAGTCAAAACTCGACGTATTATGTCACTTTATATACGTCAGATTTGGTAGCCAAACACACAAAAGCCGTCGTTTGAAAAACTGTCATAATATTTCTGAAAAGTTGCAAAAAGAGGAGTTTTCTGATATTTTCGTGGCAGCCAGAGAGTGGCCCTAATCCATTTTTTAGTGGATTTCATTGGCTCTTACGGAAAGGACAAGGAGATTCAACCAATCAAAACTCCAGCGTAGTTCAATAATGATTAGACAAACAATGCGAATCTTGAAGTTTATAGCGAATTCACAATACTACCCTGGAGTACTACAGTACGTAGCTAGTCTTAGCCGAGGAGGGTTGAGTTTGTCAAGAAGGGGCACTTTGGCCGTTCTTGCTTTGGCCTTTTTCGCCGAGGTTCGGTCACTTACGGATTATATCAGGTCATCCGGAATTATCCGGTGTACATTTTCAGTAGAAGCCGGACTGTTTCTGCCCAATCATAGGTCAGCTAAGTAGTCCGTTAATAATTACTTTTGGTTTTGTTCTCGACCACACAAGAGTTCCACCCCGTCCGCCTTGTCGACCCATCTATCAACATTAGCCTGGTCGGTTCAGCCATCAACGGACAAAACAACACTTGACTGTATTAGTCATTACTCAAGTTGTCTCCTCATGAACACAACTCCTTTAGGGTCAATTGATATCTACCACAACTATATGCACCATGCACTCGTGCTTGCGCCGCCAAGCTCCATACCACCTCCGAACTCTGCTCCTATTTCAGTTCCTACGGAACCATTGTTTATATATTCCCTGCTTGCCGACCTTGTCAATAACAACGACCCCAAAGACTGGCGTGACGCCATGTCTCGCCCCGACCGCGACACATGGCTTCTAGCCGCCAAGTCTGAATATGAGTCTTTACTCACCAACGGCACTTATGTGCTCGTCAAACGTCGTCATGACGAGACGGTTCTACCGTGTCGCTGAGTCTTTCGACTCAAAGCCGATGGCACTCATAAGGCCTGACTTGTCGTCAAAGGGTTCATACAACAAAAAGACATCGACTACACGGACATGTTTGTCCCTGTTGTTCTAAGTGCATGTACACCCATCTTCAACCAAGCAATCATCATATTATACAAAGTAACTTTAAACAACGCACCCAACCGTTATAAGCTTACTTTAGACGTTATTGAAGCCTGAGAAATCATTAACAGTAAACAAAGAGTTTAATCCTGGAATTGCCAAAAAAAGGTGCAAAGCACAATAGTAATAGTAAGCGATTTACATATTTCTAGAATACGACTATAGTTAAATCATGTGATCTACAAAGTGGAAAAACCATATACTATACAGTTTAATGAAGTGTACAACTGTAGTATAATTTATACACAAACTATATAGTGGTACATCGAATCCAGTGGCGTCATAGGGTTATCGACCAATGAGAACAGATGTCACTGCTGACGCCTGTTTACGACCAAGCTCGATTGGCGTGCGGCGTGCTCGGCCATGGACACTAGAAGTTCCTTCTGCAGAGCGCACGTATGTATAGCTTTAGATATAGTATAGTCAGAGAAGTCATGCAAGTAGATAACGCTAATCAATCAGTTTATTATTCCCTCTGCGTTATCAACTCCCTACAGTTGGTAGCACTCACGGTTGACAACAAGGACTTACTCCGAGGGGCAGGTTGTAAGGTTACTCTATCTAGCTCAGGCGAAGGTTCAGTTGCGACCTTTCACGGCGGCTAGTGTTGAGTTAGTAATCGCTCAGATGCTCTTTTATTACGACGGCACTCTCCTTAGTATCCGACATCAGGGTCGGTAGAGGTTGAGTCGACAGCCAATAAAGACATTTGTTGCGTGTGAAGTTTATTGTCACCGGACCCCCATTTTATGGGCAAGAACAAGGCGACGGCGGAAAAGAAGCTCAAGAAAGCGGCGAAAGAAGCGGTTGCGAGTGGAGGCGAAATCAAGCGCGAGCGAAACGATCTTAAGTGAAAGGCTAATCAAGTACCTGACCGCCTAGTTTCGTTTAAGACCGTCCATTATCTCGACGAGCCTGACATTGAGAATTTGGACGCGTTAAGAAAGAGCCTCATCAAGAAGCTCCAAGCAACCCAGCGAATCAACGAGCGTTTCAAGCGGGATCTAGTCCGACTTAACAGGACAGTCGGAAGTATCCGGATTAAGTGCGTTTTGGACAAAATCGTTGAAGTCCAGACAAATTTGCCAGTTGCTTCAAGTTTTTTGGCAGAAGAAATCAACTGCGCACTTTTGCCAAAACCGGTTCCGGTTGTTGAGAAGAAACCGAAGCTCAGCGAACAAGAAGGATTAGCAGAAATTTTTCTAATCCTTAATCAAGTGCTTCTTTTTCTAAAATATGGAGGAAGCGTTTGTGCGTATGATGGGTGCGATGGAGCAGCAGCAGAAGATGATCAATCAGCTGCTAGAAGCTCAAGAACAGACGCACACGCAGATGATGACGGACCAGCAAGCGCATCAATAGCAGCAGTTGATTTTACATCAACAGTTGCAGGATGCAATGAACTAACTGGCGAGCCAACAACCGGTCGACCAGGAACGGGACACGGAACGACGAGTAGAAGGACTGTCTATGCCTGCGTACCATGGGCACTTTAATGAAAGCATTGGGGCTGTACATCCACCGTGTGAAGACCTTCTTCATGGCAAAGAACTTGAACTACGAACAAAACGCAGTGGTCGAAGCGCGCTGTCTTGCGATGGTTGTGGCGAACCTCCAAGGACAGGCTGCGGCTTGGTACCATGAATTCGCTTCGCGACGAGTCAATTGTGGCTTCAGGACTTTTGTCGTCTTGATGATAAAGTCTGGCGTAATGAATGGCAAAGTCGTGAAAATTCTTATTGACTCGGGAGTAACGAATTCGCTCTGTCGAGTCGGGTTGGGAAAACATGTCATTCTCTCCAAGGCTGTTCGCATCTCGGGCTACGACGGACTGATGTCACCACTGACAGAGACGCGCGAATTGAAGGAAACGGTGCAGATTGGCACGTTCACGTTTCATGACACGCAGCTCACGGAATGGGACTTGAAGGACAAAGCGTTTGACATCATCCTAGGCCAACCATGGTTCAAAAAGCACAATCCAGTCATCGATTGGCGCAAGCATAACATCGTGTCGGTTGACGAGGACGTGGATGTCAATGCGTCGGCTGTTGAACCACCAGGATGGATCATGAAGCTTTGCCATGTCCAAGCGCAACCTCAACAAGAGTACCCAGCTGAGATCAAAGCTGTACTCGACGAGTTCAAAGACGTCTTTCAGAAGGAGCTCCCGGATGGGTTGCCACCGGAACGTGGGGTGAAGTTCGATTGTGAAGTTGAAGCCGGACGCAAAGCCTCAGAATCGCGCACCATTTCGACTCGCAAAGGTCGAACAGGAGTCACTGGACAAGTTCGTGGATAAGCTGAAGGCTAAAGGATGGGTTGAGTTGTCCACGGGTGATTGGGTTTCCAACACCTTTGGTGTCCCCAAGAAGGATGAGAACGGGAAGATGCCGTCACGTCAAGTGTGGTTGAAGACAGCAACGGCAATCACGCCAATCCGTTGGGTTCTTGACTACAGGCATGTCAACCCCCTGTCCGAAATCCCCAAGATCCCATTACCCAACATCGAGGACCTGTTCAGCAAGATGTTTGGATGCGTGGT